TTATTTTTTAAATGGTAAGTTAAAATGTTTCTTCAACCTAGAGGATTCAAGTTGAGCCATTCTTCATCCCTGATGAAGGTGAGTGTGATGGAGGTTTTGCCATGTTTGTTCTGGTTTTCTGTTGATTCTCATATTGTTTGTCAGTTAACTGACCTAACTTTTTCACACTGCATGTTTTTTGTAAAGAAATGACTCTTATTTCAAATACCAAGTAGCTTTGAAATGCAGCTGTATGGAAAATATTTCAGAACTAATGTTTAACCTGAGCTGGTTTAATGTGGAGAGTTTGAGAAGAACTGGAATAGAATAAACTGCTAAGTATTTTTTATGAGCTTTTTTCTGCTTTTTCTATTTGTTACATAAATTGTCTCTTCAGGCTTCCGCTTACTTGAACCCTTAAAGCGTTAATAGAGTAAAGCTCTGTTTTGAGATTTATACCTGAGATGCAAACACCTTGTTGATTCAAGTTACAGTAAGACTTGCAGGTCACAGAAGGTTAAAATCAAAACTGTATCATACGAAGGAAAGTGCTGTATCATACGAAGGAAAGTGCTGTTGCAAATTCTCTGTTGACTGAAGCTGCTTTCTCAACTTCAAGGGTATGTCAAGGTGTTTTGCTTTTCTGGTTTTTGCTTTCATATTTTAATCGCTTTATCTCTCGATTTAGTTCAGGGATGGAAATGGTGTGGTACGGGGCTACTACCTGTCTGTGTTCTGCTACTTTTATCCCCTGCTGTACTGTTTATATAAGTGTTCAGTAAAATTGCCAGCACACCACGTCTTCAGCTGGGCCTGTGAGCCTCCCAGAAAGCATGGTTCTGTTAAACTTGATGCATCCAGCAGTTCCAGTGTCTTTATTTTGGTATTAATAACTGTGATTTTCCCCGGTGTAGGTATGAGTACCGTGTAGAAATGGTTCACCAGTCCACCAACGATCCCACCAGAAGCATAATTCGAGAGTTTGCCTCTGATTTTGAAGTTGGAGAATGCTGGGGTTACAACAGATTCTTTCGTTTGGACTTGCTAGCCAATGAAGACTATTTAAACAGGCAAAATGACACTGTGATCCTAAGGTAAGGAAGGCAACTTAGCGGGGCTCTTTACTGCTATCATTTCACAAAGTACCACACCTGCAGCTGAAATAGGAAATAATTAAGGAATTGAATTTAAAATAATTGTGACATGTTTTGCCATAAATGGGTTTGAGTGTCATAAGCTTTAAAGAGAATGTGCTGAAGGGAGTTGTGGAAACTATATCTCTTTCTTTTGAGAAGTAGCTATGCTTGGCACTAAGAAGCCTGGGTTAGGGATCTGTAGCGAATTGATTTAAAGGAAAAGGCTGTTTTCTCCCCCTTTTCAGAAACAGTTGCAGTGATCAGAGGAGATCTTTGGGAATAAAGGAAGTCTGTAATTTAAGAGAACTAATGCTGTCAATGGCAGTTGCAGTGTTAAGACAAAATACGGAAGCTTTATCCATCTACTTCAGATCCTCTCTGTACAGTCCTACTCTTGCTCCTGCTAAATGCTTTGTAGTGTGTTAATGTTGTTAGTGTTGGTTTGTGAAGATCAATACCTCTTGTATAACTGCCCTTGAAAATACTTCCTGTTGCCATTCAGTGTGCTCAGGGTACTGAGTATGGAAGGACATTGTTAAGTTTATTTTATCACTGGATTTCAGGTTGGGTAATATTTTTATGTAGGGCTTTTAGGATTTTGTGGGGGGCAGAAAAAAAAACAAAATGAAGGGGAAAACCCTTAAAAATCACTTTTCAAATGTTCCTTTGAAGGGTACATAGAATGTGCTGGGCTGGGAGAAGGGAATCCCTTTGAAGAGCTTCAGGCAAGACAGCTTCTCCTCTGCGATAGTGACTGTGGTGGTGGCATTATAAGGAAGATGCTTTTTTGAAGGTTCCTTTTTTATTCACTTGTTTATTTGTAAGCGTGAGGGCACGCTGGCTGTTCTTGGGGGAGGGAAAGGTGGTGTTCCTTTTTCCACTGCTCTACACAGGTCTTGTACTGAGTGATGAGTTCTGTGAAGAGCTGACAGTGGAAAGTCTGCAGCATACTAGCAGTTGTGGTTTTGCTGCCTATCCTTCCTCCCCCTGCATCATCCCCTTTTCCCTATTTTCTTCTCTGAGCTAAGTTTCCCTCATTACTTTGATCCCTTTTGTTGTTCCTTATGGCTTTCAGGAGGGTCTGCTCTTGCAGCAGGTAATGCTGTTTTCCCTTTTAGATGTTTTTTCTTAAATGCACTACAGTGGTCTGTGACATGTAATTTCTGATGAGTGCCATTTGACCATGTAATTTTTTGCTATTGCTATAGCAGGTGCCAAACACGTGCAGTAATTGGATGGCACTTCAGAGATTAGTCAAGACTGCCAAGACTCGCAGTCCTGCAAACCACAGCTGAGGTGCTGTTTTTCCATGGAAGCCTTGCTGTGCCTGCTTCTAAATTTATTTGCAATCTGCATTTTCAGCAAAATCCCCTGTGCAAAAGCCTTGTCAACACTCGTGGCCTTCCTGCATCGCCCTGACGCTGGCAGCGGTGCTCCCAATGACTGTGGCTGGGCAGGTGCCAGGGACTTGGGCACAACCACTGCCCGGCAGCTCCTGACCGGCCTTTCTGCGCTGCGTGTGAAGGACACCACGGCCTTGGAATGGTGGTTGGAGTTTTGATCAAAAAGATGCATTTCCTTGAGCAGGGCTTCACTGCTGTGCCGCAGAAAAAATATGGACTCAGTCAGAGATCAGTATGATCAGACCAAAGCCGTTCATTGCAAAGCCTTAACTCCTTATATACTATTGCTTACATATCCTTCCAGTGATTTGGCATATTATGATTGGATAAATGTCTTGAAGACCCTTAGCAACTAACATATAATTGGTTAAGCACATGTGTGAGAACCTGACCTCGAAAGCTTGCCAACAGTCCATGGTTCTCGTAACTCGGTGAATTCCAGCTTCTTCTTATCTTGCTTTCTTAAATCGGGCCTCTCATGGCCTTGCTGTATCTTTCAGGATTATTCCGAGTTCATGTACCAAATATCCATTCTTCTGTGAGAGCACTGTCTCCACACTGCTTTTCAGAGCTATCACCACAGCGCCCACAGGGTCCGTTGAATTCTTGGCCGTGTCCATGAAGTTCTCAGCATGTCCATGGTGTGAACTGCCAGGGATGAGACCTGGAATTCGTTGTCTTTGCTTGAATTGTAGAGGGCTGCAACAGAAGGAAAGAGAGCAGAGCTGAAACCCACTGATCTGCAGAGACTCGCAGGCATCTCTTCCAGACCATGCCAGCCCCAACCATCCCTTTTCCTGGTGAGGAAGTGCAGGTGGACAAATGGATCACTTGGAAGCTGCTGCTCAGGATTGCAACAAATGCCCCCAAGATGTTCCCTGGAGCAGGATAGGGCACAGCAGCATCCCCTGCTCTGTCCCCTGCCCCCACCCACCCCCATCACACACAGCACTGCCCCTACTCACCGCTGTAGATCTCCTGCAGCGTGTCCTTGCTGCTGTTCTCCAGGTACTTCCCAGCCAGTCCTGTGCAGAGAGCTTGGTGAGACCTGCTGCTGCCCAGGACCCTCCCAGCAGCATGGCCCCAGCTCTGCCAGTTTGGCTGCACACCTTCCCTCCCCTCAGCAGGGTGACCCCAGGGAAGGACAGGACCCGAGGGGAGGTAGCACTGAACAAGGTGCCACCAAGCCCTGCTGCAAGGGCAGGAGTAGGAGGAGGAAGCACAGAGCCCCCATCTGCACAGGCCCTGTACGGGGCAGCTGGGGGCTCTGGCAGGCACAGGGCTGCTCCTCGCAGCCAGTGCAGCAGATGCCATAAGAGGGACTCCAGGGACTGTGGCTCACCGATGAACCTCACGGCTGCCATTCGCACGGTGACCTGAGCGTGCTGCAGATAAGGCATGCTGTGACGCACATACTCTTCAGCCCTGCTCCGGTCGTGCTCCAGCTGGAGAGAGCAAAAAGGCACAGGGATGACACAGACCCTCCCCAGTTGTCCGGGCGTATCCCTCCTCCTGGCACCCCACACCCCTGTCTTGCTCCTCAGTCCATTTGCATTTCCCAGCCAGGAGCCCTGTGGGGCTGAGGTTCAGAGACAGCCGCAGGCAGAGCGGGATCAGGAGGTCCTGAGAGCCCTCTGTGCCACTGCCAGGGCCCAGATGGATCCTCTTAAACGTCCTGAGGGTGGGGAGGCGAGAGGGGCACCCGTGTCCAGCCTGGGACTTGTCCTCACCAAGCACTCCACAGGTCTGTCTCTCTCCAGTACCCGCACGCGGTGACCGAGCCGTTTCCATTTGAGCACCCTTGCAACTTCACAGAGGGCTTCATAAGATGCCTGCAGAGACGAACAAGGATTGGGGAGATTGTGAAGAGGGCTTGGGGCCCAAAGCCCTGGCCCCTGCAGGGGTCAGCTGTGAAGCTTCTGGGGACCCTGGTATTCAGGGGCTGCTGCTGAGCCCTGCTGGACCACATAGGGCAGGCCAGCTTCTTCTGCACTCCCTGATGCCCAGACCCCCCCCTGCCCCACGGGCTCAGCACACCCTTCCGTGCACCCCTGCTCAGGTCTGGAATCTCTACCTTGGCCACACTCTCAGTCTCATCACTCATGTGCAACACGAGTGGGACCAGGCTCTCCCGCGCTGCCTTCTGCATCTGCCGCCGGTGCTTCCAACCTGCCATCTGTAGTACTTCTTTGAAGAGGCAGATGGAGAGCTCTCGCACCTGGCTGGACACCTGGTAAGGAGGAGGACAGGAGGACTTCAGCAGCAGCAGCTCCCTGAGCAAGGGCATCAGCGTGGCTGAGGGGAGGGGATTCAGGTCTCCCAGAGCCATCAGCAAGTCAGGGAGAAGCTGGGCTGGGCTGCAGAGCCCAGAAGGCATCCCCGTGAGAGCACAGGGGCATGAGGAGGGGCACGGTGCTATACAAGTGCCGACACCAGGCTCTACTGACGGACACTTCTCCTTGCAAAGGGCCCATCAGTGAGGATCAGGCTTCCATAGCAGCCTTACATCATCAAACAGTTGCAGGAGCTTCTCAGCCAGCTGCAGAGCGGTGGAGCTGGCCTTCTTCTTCAAATGACCCATCACATTTCTCAGAATGAGCAGGGCCTTCATTCTGGTGTCTGCGTTTGTACTCCTCAGTGCCCCCTTCAAGTCTGGCAGCAGGACCAGTATTTTCTTTGCCTGTACAAAGCACAGAATTCCTTTTATGTGAAGCTGCGAAAGACCACCCAGGCCAAAATGCTCTGGCCATTAAGCACCGGCCTCCTGCCTTGCTGCCTGGCGGTGGCCCAGGAATCCCTGCAGCAGCCTCCTGGCAGGCTGTGCCCATGGTGCACTGAGTGGATCGGGGCCTGTGAGGGGGCGTTGAGGGCATTTGGAGCCGTCACCCCAGCTCGCGACTCCCAGCCCTGGTCAAGCCACCGCGTTACCCACTGCCCAGCCCCAGGAGGCCAACACGGCTTCCCTTGGCTATGCCCTGCTCACCGTGTCAGGTGACTGTGACAACGGGATGAGGACTGTGAGCGTCAGTGAGAACAGCGCCTCATTTTGAGACAAGGAGAACCTCCCCGTACTGTACATCCCAGCAAACTCTTCTGGTGTCACATCGCTGGAGGCCAGCAGCTGAAACAAAGACGGCAGTGAGAGACCAGCTGAGGCTGCAGGGCTCCCCGCACTGTGCAGCTCCTGGGTCCCACTGGCAGCTCAGGGCAAGGGCACCGGGGACAGAGAGCCCGTGCTGCGGAACACCCACCGCACACCACACGCTTCCCTGTGCTGGCTCTGCCTGTGCAAGTAGAGCACTGCCTGGGCAGACAGGGACTTTGTGCACCCGCACTCACGCAGCATGGCGTGGCCCTGTGTGGCTGGCACAGGGGAACCTGGTGCTGTGCTGGCCCTAATGGGCTGTGTCCCTGTGTCCCAGAGGAGGTGACTGTTTGGGGGCAGATGGCAGGGAAGAGGGCTGTGCCTGTGTTTCTGGAGAGGCAGGCACAGCCCTGAGTATGAGCAAGGACTGGTCTGGTTACTCACGGACAAGAGATGGATGCAGGCGTCCTCCGTGTTGGATGTGGATGTTGAACGTGATCGCAGGTGCTGGAGGTTGCTGCTCTGCTCCCTCAGGACCTCCAGCAAGATGACGGGATGGGACAGCAGCGTTCCCCACATGGCCCAAGCGACTCTGCAGACACAGAGCACTCTGTCAGCAGGACTGCCTTGGCCACCGCACGGTGCCCGGGCCAGTCCTGCAGCAGCCAGGCTGTCCTGCAGCCCTGGCCCTTCCCGACCCCTCAGTGGGAGTGCCCAGGTCCTAGACGGGGCAGGCAGGAAGGGGATGAAGCTATTCCCTGTGGGGCAGGAGGATCCTCGTGGCAAGCCTCGGGTCTGGCTTGGCCAGCTTTGGTTACTGCAGGGCTGGCCGACCCAGCAGGGCTAGAGAGAGTGATGGGGTACAGGGCTCAGCTCCTCAGGGGTGTCCTGCAGTTTTCTGTGGGCCTCAAGCTCCCTCTCCCAACATGGAACAAACGCACGAGGGCTGTGGGGGTCAGTACCTATCACATGCTTCAGAGATATCAATAAGGCTCAGGATCATCTCCTCGGGGTTCTGCTCTGCCATGATTAGAAACAGCAAGTTCAGGCTGCACTGGGCTGGTGCTGTGCTGATGTGCAGCAGGTTCTTATGGATGCAGCGCGTGAGGATCGGCACCTGGAGGGCACATGGATGAGGGTGGAGCTGCCACCAGACTGCAGCCATTTCCTCAGCTGCTGCTGAAACAGCTGCCCTCCCCATCCTACTCTACTGGCATGAAATGGCTTCAAGGTGCCTGAGGCACCTGGGTGAGGGAAGGTGGGATGTAGGGAGGAACAGTGCCTGGAAGGGCTGGAGGACAGGGCAGCCACAGGCTGCTTACCTCTGTCAGCCAGGAGGCAGGTTCTGTCATGGCCACGTTCACGACGCTGATCAGCTCCTCCTTGTCACATACACACGAGTCTCTCATGGCCTCTATGGCCTTGAGGACAATGACTGTCTTTTCAGCAGGGTGGAGGTATTCCCCAAATGCCTGCAGGAGGGAGGAAGGCAGGGAAGACGTGTTAACACTGAGTGCCTGATAGCGTTGCTCAGCTGGGCAGCGACAGCAGCTCTGGTGAGAGTACCCCTGCAGATCTGGCAGTAGGGGCTGCAGTTGCTGCGGGGTAGAGGATGGGACGAGCGGGCCCCACAGTGAGGGAGGGTGGGCACGGTGTGCTGGCCCTGCAGAGAACCAGGGCTTCCTGCTGGCCACGAAGGCTGGAGCTGCTGCTGGGACGCTGGAGTGCAGGCCTCTGGAGGCCCTGCTCCAGAACAGCAGCAACCCTCTGACCAGGGACAGTGAGATCATGCCAAACCCGCTGGTTCTGGATCCCTTTGCTTGCACCAGTCTCCTGCCAGTGCCGCAGACAAGAGGCCCAGCAAGGGAGGAGCTCATTACCTCTGCAATGCTGCTCGTTCTGGATAGAGAAAGACAGGAGAGTTTCCCTGCTTCCCTTTTCCCTCCACCCTGGGGATGCTCTGGGTCATCCTCTGGTGACGTCATGCCTAAACAGGAGGGGATCACGGAAGAGTCATTAGGACATAGCATTGATTTCCATCAGTGACAGCTTTGGCTATGGGGACCATGGAACTGCTGGGTTCTGAGAGGTCCTGAGAAGAGTGGGAAGGAGAGCAGCAAAGAGCAGTGCCGGACTTGTGGTGAGCACTGAGCTTCTGCAGCAGAACGATAGCTGGGATGCTGTGGGAAGCAGCTGAGACGGGCAGAGGAGGTGGGGGAATACAACAAGCTGTCCTGGACTATGAGGAGATGTCTGTGTGGAGGGATGCAGCCCAGCATAGCTTCTCTTACGTTTTTGCTGCTGGATGAATCTGAAGAGGTGCTGAAGAGCATCCAAAGCCTCCTGATGGATCTTCCAGGTCATGCTAGTGCAGCAAACAATGAGACATCCCAGCAGCTGTCCCAGGAAGCGGTCATTGGTAATGGCATGGTGGGAAGAGCTGTAGTCATGTCTATACAAGCTCCAGACCTGGGCAAGGGAGGCAGGACAGGCAGAAGGGCTGAGGGACAGCAGCTCAACAAAAGCTCTGAACCTGAGACTCTGCCCCAGGGAAGGATCCTGGAGGCTCAGAGCTGTGCAGGGCCCTCCCAAAGCAGCGAGCTGGGCAGCAGGGCAGGGAGAGCTGCCAGGCCTGGCCTCCCACCATGCTCCTTGGGCAGTGCTGTCCTGCACAGGACTGGGAGCCAAGATGGCTCCTGGCAGAAAGGGCACTGCGACGGAGGGAAAACCATGGGAAAAAGAGAAGCCAAGACCCTTGCCCAGGGCAGAGCCATGCTGAATGCCTCAGGCATCTCCAGCTGCAGGCTGCTGCCCACGGTGGGCAGGGAATGGGAGACAGCCTGGCTGGAGGGTGCCTGCCTCCTTACCTGCACTGAGGAAGAGCTGGCCATCAAATCGGCCAGCTTTGCGATCCTTGCCACGGCCCGTTCACACACAGCTGCGTGCTCGATGTCTGTGAAGGGCAGCAGCATCTGGAAGGAGAGAAAGTGCTGCTGTGCCCTGGGAGCTGGTGCCTGTGCCAGCCAGGGGACACAAGGCTCCTGGAAGAGCACGGTGGGCCATGTCTGGGTCCCCTGAGAGAGCTGAGCGCCCTCCCTGCAGTGTGCTGTGTGCATGGAGCTGCGACGACACCGTGTGCTCCAGAGCAGACACTCCCATCCCTCCAGGGAGAGGAACAGCCCCTGCCAACCCTGCTCTCTGCCAGTGCCGCACCTGCAAGATTCTCCGCAGATCCCTGGAGCCCGGGGAGCTGAGCACGAAGCTCTCCAGCAGGACGTCCATGGCATCCAGGGTCTGCAAGGAGGATGAAGGTCACGTCAGTCTTTCTGCAGTCCTTCTCTCCCCGGGGAGGGATCTAACCCCCACGCCATGGGGAGGACACCCCTGCCACCTCTGGATGGCCAAGGGACACCTTGGAGCAGACAAGCTGCAGCGGGCAGAGGAGCCAGTCCAGAAGCTCTGGGCATGGCAAGGCCCACAAGGAGATGAAGGGACAAGGGTGGGATAGTAAAGCCGAGACCCTATCGTGCCCTGGATCGCTGGTTGTGGTTCAGCACTTGCCAGCCAGGGAGCAGCTCTGAATGCTCCTGGCAGCCCAACAGCACTTACCTGAAAGTAGAGAATGCTGTCTTCGCCCTTCCTAGAAGTGATGGGGGGAAGCAAGAAGACCTTCCTAAAACAGGACGTTAAAAGGCTTTTCTTCTTGCGCTTCAATAGCATCTGCACTTTGCTAGAAAGAGAGAGAGAGGGACCTGTCAGACATGGGTGCCAGGAGCGCTGCCTCCGTGCCTTGTGCAGCTGGACACAGACCTCTGGAGCAGAGGTCCCCAAGAGGGATGGAGCCCTGGTGTGCGGGGAGCCCTGCCAGGAGGAGCCTCCTCCCTCCTTGATGTGGCCCAGGCCAAAGGACGGTCCTGGCAGGCAAAGCCTCCCGCCTCCTGCTTTTGGGAGCAGCCAAGACATGGTGGGGACCTGCAGGATCCCTCTGCTCTCCCCTGTGCCCCTCCGCAAGCCATGAGCACGGAAAAGACCATGCCCTTCGAGGGCACCACTGGACTCTGCCTGGATGGGAGATGCCCATGGCCAGGCCTAGGGCTATGGGCTGTGCAGAGGTGTCTGCCAAACCAGGAGCTGAGCACGCACCTCATCTGGGCGAGGGTCAGCATGGCTTGCTGCCGCACCACTGTGTGCACATGGTCCATGGGCTCCTCTTCCACCAGCGCCTGCAGAACACAAGCAGGATGGGACCTGGTGGCCACCAGCACCCAGTGCCAACAGACCCAGCACCAGGCAGCATGGCTGGCAGGCACCCTCTGGCCCCAAGCCCAGCACTGGCCCCCAGCGTGGCCCTGCTGCCAGGGCTGCTCAGCAGCACCCGCAGGCAGCTCAGTGTCTGCCTGCGCACGCTGGTCCCTGCCCTCCCCCTGCACGGGCCCTGTGCGTTCTCAACAGTGTGCCAGCGCCTGGCAACTTGCCCCCTTCCCCAGGCCTGCCGTGTGTCCCCTCACCTTGATGTTCTCTGCCACCTGATGTTGCTCACAGAACTCCCTTAGTTCCTCTAGGAAGCCCTGGTCCCTGGCAGCTGTGCAGAGGCTGGAGACGGCCTGCAGGAATTGCACCTTCTGAGCCTCCTCCTGGGCAGCCGGGGGGCAGAGACACAAACAGGCAGCGTGAGAAGGGGGGCACGTGGCCAGCGGGACTGGAGCACTGGGGCTGCAGTGCTGTGCAGGAGACCTGGGGAGCAGCTCTGCCCAGCCAGCAGCCCCCAGCAGCCTGGCAGCAGAGCCAGTGGGCCCATCAGGAGACACGGGCACTGCTACCCTGGAAACGGCTGAGGTTACCTTCACTGAGCTCTGCAGGAAGGTCTGGATAAACTGCATGTGTGCAGTGCGTTCCTCCTCCATCCTTGGCGGACAAAAGGATAGGGGTGCGGAACGAGTAAGGTTGCCAGAAATGTCTCAGCACTGCGGGGCTGCTGGGGCAGTGGGGATCAACATGGGCTGCCTCAGGGGTCTGCGCCAGCCTCTCGCTCCCGCTCTGTCCCGTCGCCGTCCTGCCACACACTGGCATGAGGGGTGTGGCCTGCTGACTTTTAGACTGTGGCCATGGGCATGTCACAAAGGGCACCATGGCGGGTCATGGAAGGGATGTCACAAAGGGCACCATGGCGGGTCATGGAAGGGATGTCACAAAGGGCACCATGGCGGGTCATGGAAGGGATGTCACAAAGGGCACCATGGCGGGTCATGGAAGGGATGTCACAAAGGGCACCATGGCGGGTCATGGAAGGGATGTCACAAAGGGCACCATGGCGGGTCACGGAAGACACGTCACAAAGGGCACCATGTCTGGCTAACCATCAGCCCCACAAATCTAATGCGTGTTCATGCACAGCAGTAGATTAAACAACGATTTTTTTTTATTCAGACCTTCAGTAGGCAAAACATTTCCCATCTGCTTTGGCTTAACCAGTGTTGCCTGATGGAAAACCAAAGTTGCACGTACCAGGGACTGAGAAGATGAGACTTCCTAGGTGAGAGCTCAGAAAGGGAATCGCCTGAAACAGGGAAGTACCTGTGTCAGGTCTTTTGTCTTAACAGCTGGGTACTATTTGGACAGAAATGCTTGTTCCCTGGTCTGGATGGCTTTGCTGTCTCCCCCCTTTGTGTAAATCCTCTTTTTTGCACTGTATTTAACTGCATCTTGTTTGAAAATAAATCTTTGCACTGGAAGCCTGACTGAGTGTAGCACCTGCTCGCTGGAGGTGGTTTGGGGATTTTGCTGTACACTTTCCCAGGCAGCACGGCAACTCTGTGGCGCTGCTCTCCATCACTCAGTCCAGACTTTGGCAGAGCTCTTACAAAGCCATTCTTCTTTGTATGTCCCTCCGTGGAAGGAATTATGTACACAGAAAGCAGAATGGGAGAATCCCTTTGAAGGGAAAGGTGGTGTTGCTTTTTCACTGCTCTTGACACTGAGTGACACTGTGCCACTGCCAGGGCCCAAAGGGATCCTCTTCAACATCTTGAGGTCGCGGAGGCGAGAGGGGCACCCGTGTCCAGCCTGAGACTTGTCCTCATCAAGCACTCCCAGGGCTCAGGACGCCCTGTGGTGTGCACAACACAACCGGATTGGGATCTGGTGACCACCAGCTCCCAGTGCCAGCACACCCAGCACCAGGCGGCTGGGCTCTGCAGAGCTCTTGAAACCATTTCCTCTGGGCGCCAAGCGTGAGGAGCATCTACGGGAGCCGCACGGCACCCGCCTGCCGCCACGAGCGGCTCCAAGCCCATGACCACACAAGCGAACCAGCAGCACGGACATTCCACTTCACGCGTGCGCAGTGCGGGGCGATGTTGGGTCCCGCCCGTGCAGCGGCTGTTGGGGTGGGAGGAGCAGCTGAGCTCCTCGCGACTGTGGAGGGCCGGTACGGGGTCCCGAGCGCAGTCGTTGCCCGGCGGCTCTTAACCGCCCTTTGCTGTTCAGGTCCAGGCAGTGTGGTGAGGACCGTGGTCAGGGAGGATCTTCTTCCCCGGCGGGGCCGCGGCCATGGACGAGCAGAGCGTAGAGGTGAGCGGTCTGGCGGCTGTTGCGCTCGCGCCGCCTCAGGGAGGCGGGAAGGGCTGCTTGGGGGTAGCGTGGTGTCCTCGGGTGCGCATCCCCGGCCCCATGGGGACGGGCCGCTGCGGCGGCGGCACCTTCCCTTCCGTGGGGGCCGGCGAGTGGCGGGGACGGGCCTACTCGGTGTGGTCCGTGCAGTGCGGCCTGAGCTGTTTACGGGCCGGGGAAGGGCTGGCGGATGGTGCCGCGGAGCCCTTGGCTGGACCCTCGCCCTTGTGTGAGGGGAGAGAGGCCGAGCGGTAGGGAGCTGTGGGCGGTCCCGGAGGTGGAACACAGATGGCAGCTCTGCCGCGGGCGGGGATGCGCATCGGGCCGAGTCTTGCTGCTGTGTGCCCGGTGGGCCGGTAGGAAGGAAGCGGGGTGTAATGAGGTGATATTTCTGAGTGACCCGCGGTTGTTTTACATAGGCCAGGTTAGAAAATAAAGGGGTCGGATGAACACCTGGTGCTGACAGAAGCCGCTCTGGCATGCGTGACAGCACAGCACGCAGTGGTGCTTGTCTGTGACGTGGGCGATTCGTACACGTTGCTGTTGTCCGTATTAATAAGAGCCAAACCGGGGCAGGATTTAACAAGACCTTCGTTGATGATTTGCTGTAAATGCATGTGCTGTTTTTTAATGGTTTGCAGCCGTTAAAGAAGATGCTGATGTGTGGGAGATGATACTGTGGTGTCTGTAAATTGAGGAAATGCTTCTGTGCTCGTTTATAGTTTCGACTCCAGGGAAAAAAATAGCCCATCAGAAGACTCTCAGAGTTCTGTAGTTGAAGCCGGAAGGGGTCTTACTCCTGTCCAATACAGAACATGAAACTTCTTATCAGTGCAAAATCTCATCAGTATGGAAAGCAAGCACAGCTTGGTATTTCCAAGCACCTTTCTCATTTTGGGGATGGGAAGAGCTGAGGTGGTGTATGCTAGAACGAAATGCTTCGCTCTTCAAATGGGGGTAGTAAAAGATAATTTGTCAAGCTACACTTTATCGCTGGAGAATTATTAAATGGGGTGTGAGAGAGCGTAGACATTGTGGAGCTAGTGCTAATGGTAGACCTTAAAAAATGTAAGCCTCATAAAAGTAAAACCAAAAGGCCCATACAGTTCAGCCCATCCCATTAGCGTTCTGTATAACAGCTACATGCACTTACCACGCTTCTGAATTAGTTTAGTGCCAGTACATTGAAACTCCTGTGCTTAGAATCTGCAGGTGCAGCAGTTTATTCTGGTGTCTGTTCAGACCCATGTGAACACAAACACGAATGACATCTTGGCTCTAGAAAGGCCCACGTTAAAAAAGATGAGCCCAAGAAACTGTGCGTTGAAGAACAGTGTTGCAAAACGTGTGCTAAGAGCTGGTGTAGTGTAGGAGGAAGGGGGGGGGGGGGGCGAGAGCCACTGTGTTTGACATGGTGTTTTGACTCTAAGATGAGCTGTTGGTAGCTGTTTGGAGTGGGACTGCGTGTATGAAACCTGGCACTCTGCCTGGGAAATAAATGCAACTCTGATATGCTTGAAGTATATGGCCTAACAGTAGCGATAATCTTACCCTCTGCAGAGCATTGCTGAAGTATTCCGATGTTTTATTTGTATGGAGAAATTGCGTGATGCACGCCTCTGTCCTCATTGCTCCAAGTTGTGCTGTTTCAGTTGTATTCGGGTGAGTTTCCTCATTATAGTTTATTCTTGCAAACGTATGAACTTAAAACTTAGTGCTCTTATGAAGACGTTCTTGATTCTTTCTTGTCCGTTTCCCTGGTGCTCCAAGGATTCCTTTTTCCTGCCCTGTGCTCTTCAGTTTCTTTCAGGATCCTTTACAACTCCCCAAGTTAAAAAGAGGCAGGCTGTGCATTGCATTCAGCAGTGCTAATTATAGGGACTGTCTGGATAATTGCTTTAAAGAAGCAGACGTATAATGATCCCATCTGTGGCATCTCTTGGGAGTCAGTGGTGCCTGTTTGGAAGACACAAAATCGGGATAGGAATGAAATGCTGACTTGGCATATCAGTATGGAGCACTGGAAGGTCATAACACCACCTCTGGTCACCTTGGAGATGTTGTAGAATACTTACCAAACTAGTATAGTGTCAGCAGATACAGGCTCAATCTTTCTCAGGAGAGCCCGATACAGCAGGCTGAAGCAACATCTGAATCCCAATTCTTTGATGAAATCCTGGTTTCCAGTGTATAACACTTCAGTTCCAAGTCTAGAAGCTGTAGGTGCAGTGGGAGAGGGTTCAGCTGAGGTTTTCAGTCCTCTGGTAATATTTCCAGAAACTGGAACAGGCAATCATTTGCTTTGAAAGCTCTGACAAGAGCTATAGGTGAAGGCTTCATGTTACACATTAAGAATGTTAGCACATTGTTGCTGGGTGGTGAGAGATTATTCATGAGAATCTTTAAATGTAGTAGTGAGCTGACAGATACAGGCCCATTAACTGCTGTGCTTTTACACTTGTAAGTTGCAGTGGGCAGGTGAAGTTCCTTCCTCAGCTACTTGTCTTTGGAGCTTTCTGGAAGAGAAGGATTTGAAAGGTCCTTGTGGATTTGATCCTTGATCCACAGGTATCTGTGTATAGATAGCCCAAGAGGAAGAAATAAGTTACCTTGAAGAGTATAATCTAGACTGAAATTTAGGCTTGTGTCTTTTGCTTTCTTTTGTTGAAACACGCTCTTCAGTCTGTGACTGTGGGAGTCTGCCCCACATGTGTGGTTTCTAATGGAATATTTGGTACCTCAGAATCCTGTGTTTTTTTACTGGGGTGCCTTTGACATCTAAAGAAAAGTGGTTGCTTTGTGACTAAGTGGTGGAACAGCTAAATTATAAATCTTAAAATCCGCCCAATTAATGATAGAATGTGTTTTCTCGCAGTTCTTTTTTTGCACTCTCTTAAAATATGTTTTTCCTTTTTTCTTCATAGCGTTGGCTGACGGAACAAAGAGCTCAGTGCCCTCATTGTAGGTAAGGTATTTTTAGTATCAGAAAGCAATTACCAGGAATTGGGTGTACTGTCCTGTTACGATCAATCTCTTCTTTTTTTTTCAGTGCAGGTTGCACTGATTTGTAAGTTTGATTTGTTTTTATTTTTATCTTTTTTAAAGGACTCTGCTGTTACTATAGAAATTTACTCTGGTATAATGCTTACTGTAAAATATGTCCGAGTTTTGTGACCAGCTAAGCAAGATCTTTATTCTTCTGCTGTCGCACTGCTGTTTTCAGTGCGTGCAGTTGGTGTAATAAGAGTAACTAGATGGTGTTCCCCTCAGAACTCCTTATACTTTCGCAGGAGTCAGAGACCAGAATCTTCAGTTTTCAGACTGAAATGTCTGCTTTTTTTTTTGCCCTTTTTTTTTTTTTTTAAGCCGCAGTGTTGTGTTTGTTTGGTGTGGGTTTTTTTAATGCAAGCCCTGGCCTCCGTTAGCACTTCTGGGCACTTAGCGATACTAGCTCTTGATGGACCAAAAATTGGAAGGCAACATATTCTTTTCTCCTAAGGAAAGGGAGGTCCTTAAACGCAATTAATCAAGCATTTCTGCAGAACTTCTTAAATATTGAGCTTTTCAAGTATTTGGTCTATAGCTTTCAAGTGCTAAAGTGAAGAAGCACTGAGAAACAAAATTCTTCGCCTGTCATTATCCAGGAGTCTGTCAAGAAATCTGGAAATAGTTCTTGGGTTCCCTATGTTGACTTCAAACATTGCTTTGCTTCTTGTTGTTGTTTTTTTCCCTGAAATAAGTAGGGAGCAAAAAAGCTGCTGCTTTTTTGCCCATGAATTTTTCCCATAGTATTGAGTCAATGAACTGAATTAAGTCAGTGATGCTTCTCTTCTGTCTCTTGGAGCTGAGTTCTTGGTCTAACTCTAGCCATGCTTCTTGCAGAGCCCCGCTGCAGCTGCGAGAGCTTGTGAACTGTCGTTGGGCAGAAGAGGTCACACAGCAGCTTGATACACTTCAACTCTGCAATCTCACAAAGCATGAAGAAAATGAGAAAGACAAGTAAATGGAGCTTTCTTCACATAAAGCATGTTGCAGTTAGCTTATATAAGCAGGCTCTTAATTTCCCTGATTGTAAGGAGCTGAACAAACCGATAACTTTGACTTAAAAGCTGAATTATGCTCATTGTCTGACAAAAAGTTGGAGTTAATTTCTGTCACACTTAATGGAACAAGAAAAACTCTTCAATGTCTTTGCCTAGAAAACTCCTATTTCTTGTTTGGCTCAGCATAGTTAAAATGAGAGCTAGAGGAAACATGAGGGGTGGTAATACTTCTTCAGGCTGTTAGCCCTTCTTTGTGACCATACACCTGAAATAAAAGCTTCCGCTCAGTGGCTTGTTCATTTGGCAGTCCCATTAAGACTGTGGGTGCTCATTTGGTATCTCAACACCTAAAAGCAGAGAAGCTGTTCTGAGAAGGTGTCTTCTAGTCATGGGTGAAAATGTAATTGGTAAATCCAGACTGAGATCAAAGAAAATATACAAAGTCTCAGAGAAAGCACTTCTATTACTACATCTGCAGCATGACTGATGTTCACTATCCTTCCTTGTCTTTGGAGCCTCTTGTGTTTTCTGATACATTGTCTCCCTAGGAGCAACCCTCAGAACTTTCTCAGCAGGCTTTTCTCCTGGTTTTATCCCATTAGCAGTCCTATTACGTGTGTTAAGGTATATTCTGGAGATTTGGAGGAGAAAAGTGTGAGAAGAAGCATTGATAAATGAACAGGGACCAATTATGTGTTCTGTGTCTGCCTCCTCCTCAAGTTTGTGAATCCGAATGGAGGAGGAAGGGAGAGGCCTGTATTTGAGGTCTGTCCTGGTCTGTGCTTGATCTGTTGGGCGGTGCTGTTCCTGAAATGTTAAGAAATGCCGAAGATCGATTTGTCCAAATAGCTTGTGAGCCATTGCTCTGTGGTTACTTTAGGTAGCATATGATCAGGACTTTAATAATGGGATTGATGCACTGATGGTACTCTCAGTGTTGGACAGCAAAGCAAGTGAAAATGTTAAATTGAATTTGCAGAAAATTCATGGCTATTTTCTGTTGATAATACGTGTGGTTTTTTTTTTTGTTTAAGGTGTGAAAGTCATCATGAAAAACTTAGTGTTTTCTGCTGGACCTGTAAGAAGTGTATCTGTCACCAGTGTGCGCTTTGGGGAGGAATGGTAAGAAGAGACTTGCATGCGTGCACATGGTGTGCCTGCAGTAAGAGACTGCAAGCGTTCTGTTTGCCAGCATTTTGAAGAAATAGAAATGCTGTGAAACTGTTGTAATGGCAGTTGAACTGCCATGCAAATACTGTAGTGGTATGTGTATTTATAATTTAATATGAACATCGGGTTTGAAAAGCATGGCTCCTGTTTATAATTAGAGAAGCAAATTGAATTTTTGCTGAAATGAGGTCAGAATTACCTTCCTTCTTGTAAGCCTCCTGATGTCTTGCGTGAACTTGAGAGCGTGGTGGGAACTTTATGGGCAAAAGTAGAAGTCTTTCTCAGAAAATACAGGTAATTCTTAGATTACTTAAATGTTCTGGCCTGTAATCCTGAGGATCTTCACAGCTCTATTAGCACAAGTCTTTCCTTTCGGTTGCATATTTCCAGGAGAGACCGCTGTCATTGGCAGGAATATAAGTGTTTTAAAAGTGCACTGCCTTTGTTTGGGAAGGGTGTTTTAGTAATAATAATAAAAATAAATAACCTTCTGTTGTTATTTGATTAGAGAACTGCAGAGCGAATGAAGCAGTCTATCTTTGGGGGCCTATTGAGACTCTTGACAGGAAGCTTTGATGCTATAAAAGCCAAATTCATGACTTCTTACAAAGGGAAGCGAAGGACAGACTTCCTACATACAGTCTGCTTTGGAACTTTTCCAAAACGAGTGGTACACTAAGAGATTTTCTTCCCCTCTGGGTACTTTAATAGGAGTGGAATGAAGTTAAAATGAGATGCTCTATTATTCTCCATCTGCTCCCCCTTTTTCTCTGACAGCATGGAGGACATACTTTTAAGCCACTGGCAGAAATCTACGAGCAACATGTCACAAAAGTCAATGAAGAAGTAGTAAAGCTTAGGAGAAGACTCATGGAATTGATCAGTTTGGTTCAAGAAGTGGTAAGAAACCAATCAGAGATACTGTTCAGTTTTCCTCTGGTACACCGTTGTCAAGGGGTAACTGTAAAAAGAGGCATGGAAATATTACACCATTGTATAGGCTCGTGGTGTTGTCAGCAGCTGTTCAGAAGCTGTTGCTTCTGCTAGAACACGTTTTCCTTTTTTTAGGAGAATATATTTGAGCTTACAGGATTTGGAGTTTGTGTACCTCCTTTTTCTTCCCCAGAGGGGTAAATGTGTTAGATATCCAAATATTGACATGTCAGCTTTGGCAGTTTTTAGTGGGAATCACAGGAATGAATTTTTTGTATTCTAGGGAGGATTATTTTTGTGTTCTGCTGAATGCTGGTACATTTATCGGGTATTCTTTGCACAAATAAGTTGGTTTGTTGTTTTTTTTTAAACAAGGCTCAGTAGGGTTTTTGTGACTGTTACATCACCATGTGGGCTCTTTGTAAGTATTTGTAGAATCACAGAATGGTTAGGGTTGGAAAGGACCTTAAGATTATCTAGTTCCAACCCCAAATGTTTCTAGAGGATTGTTGCTTCCACCTTCCAGGGTGAAGGGCATAATTTTTATCAAATTATTCTTGTTACCAAGAAGGTAACTTTACTGCTCAAATTACAGAAGAGAAAATGGCAGTTGTATTGATAAATTTTGGTACTAAAGAATGCCTATATGATAAATATGTATGCAATAAGAGAATGTTACTCAACTTAGTGTTAACCTTTGGTCACCCACCAGAGGGCACACTTACGTGTGCCATAAAGTCAACGGGTATTTTCAGGAACGGCCTGTAACACACCTCATCTAAACCCACATTCCTATTTTCTTATTCTGAATAAGTGAGCTTCAGTAAGACCTGGACTATTTTCTTTTTTTTTTTCCCTCATATAGAAATAGTGCTGGAGGGGACTGTAGGAAAGCTTAGGAAAGAATGGAGCCAAGATGTAAAAGAGTGAAACGTGGAGAGGTGTGAAGCTTTTGATTTTGTGCATGTTTTTTCCTGAACTCTGGTTTAGGAGAGGAATGTAGATGCAGTGCGTAGTGCGAAGGACGAACGAGTTCGGGAAATCAGGAACGCAGTGGAGATGATGATTGCCCGATTAGACACTCAGCTGAAGAATAAGCTCATAACATTGATGGGTAGGTATTTATGCATGGGAATAACATATCAGTTATGTGTAAATCTATTAAGAAACTTTCTTGCCCTGGAAGTGTGACTCCTTACACACACTATGGTGTTTAAGCACGTTAAGCACTGTTTAAGATTTCTGCCTGCAGCAAAGCTTTTAATTAATCCCATAGTTACTGTGATACAGTTCTAAGTTGTTAAGATGTAACCTGGTTAGTTTTGTTGGAAACTCCAGTATAATAACTTGGAGAACATTTCTGTCTAATTGGAAGATATTTAGTTCCTTTCACCTAGAATATTAATACAGCATCATTTTGGTTAGCCAAGATGTCCATCTTTGTGATTTGACATCTTTGTAATATATATGCTCCTTTTAATGTAACTTTAAAAAATGAATAGTCTGTATGAGCTGTCTGGTGAGCCAACACTTCAATCCATACATACAGGCAGCCTTGTCTGCGAACGAAGAGCGTGGCATGTGGACTCAGAGCTGCTTATTTGGTTCCTGACACTTTTGCTAGCTGGGACTGGTCACTTTAGCTCTATTTTGGTATTGAGGTGAGAAGACGGGTGGTGCACTAGTAAAAATGAAGTGTAGCTTTCAGTGAGAAGGACAGAATATTCTGCAATTGGGTATAAGTGTGCCTGCTTTGCTCAGCTGATTTTGCATCTGTGCCTTGGTTATTCCACCCGTGTTTTCCTTTCCGTAATGCATTGATATGAGCACATAGTAAAGGTGACATCTTTCTTTAGACCCTCTTGAAACGTTACACTTGTGACCTTACTTTTGCAAGGTACACAACGAGTAGGTTAAAGTACACAACAGATCCTTGACCTTGTATCTATGTACTTGTGGGAATAAAAGTAAGGCAGTAAAATAGCTGTGCTGAAAATGTATTTCTGATGCTTGAAATCTTCACACACATTCGAACACGCCTCCCATCTCCCTGCCACCCGCCCAAAGAAAACCTGCAATGTTCATGCTTGGAAAATGTTCTTAGCTTTGATAATGCTTGTGTTTATTCTTTTAGGTCATTTTTATTAAAGCCAAACCAATGTAACAGATAGGTGCTAGCCGTGTTTCAAGTACATCTTCAAACACATGTCAGCACCTTGTTTGCTTTAAATTAAATCCAGGAATCATACCTACTTTGTGCCTCTGTTGAATACAGTAATTGGTCACAAGATTTGTGTTAGTGTGTACTGGTTAAAGGTCAGTTTTAAAGCTGTAGTAAATATCATAATTATTTGTATGTACAGGTTAACATTTTGTTCATGTAGCACCTTTTTTCTAACAGCTGCCATACTCTTGAGGTGTGTAATGTGTGACGGAAGTGAAGTCAAACCTGTCTTTTTTTATTTCACGTCCAAAAAAGCACCCCAGAACAACAGACTTGCCATTTCTGGGACACAGAATAATTCATTACTGACTTAACCTCAAGTGAGTTCTTTACTACAGCTCTAATTAAAAATGTAGGCTTACTTTTAAAATGATTTCTCAATCAACCTTGGTATATTTAGAAATTCTTTACCTTAGTAGGTTTTGGATCAGCTTCCAGGTTTAAAAAAAAAAAAAAAAAAGTGAAAAAAAAGAAAAAGCTCAGTTTCTTAAAATCCAGTGAGTTATGGGGTGTTTATTTCTTTAAACATGTTGTCTTCTCTTTAACCAGGTCAAAAGACATCACTTACTCAAGAAACTGAACTTCTGGAATCCCTGCTTCAAGAAGTAGAACATCAGGTGATTATGAAAAGAGCTGAAATACTGCGTTACACAGACCCCTCCCTCCTCAGTCAGATCCCTCCTCAGTCAGCCTTCCTTATTTAATTTATTTTTAAACTGTCAATGGTGTATATTTTTTGAGGGTATCTTTTCATTTAAGTCGTCTTAGGTCACGCAATTTCTTCTTTAAAAAGTTGCTTGAAAAACTAGTACAGGGATTAATAGCAGTAACCTAGAAAACTACACAGTTACATGTTTGGTGAATGTAACATTGCAAATCCTTTCTCTTGTAGTTTGAACTTGAAGCATTTAGGTGGTGTGGGTCTGTTAGTCCGTTAGATTCTGTTAGTTCTGCTGCTGTCAAGTGCATATGAATAGTGGTTGCTATAAATTGAGAATAAAGAAAAGTGTTTTGTTTCTCTGCTTTTGAGGAAAACTGAACCGGTTCTAGCTGTTTATTTCTGTCCACCTGTCTTTCCAAGAAGATATTTTATGTATTTATTTATTTTTGTTTATATACATAATATATGTATTTTTGTCTGTTTGTTAAGAGCTGTCTGTGAAGTTGCATATATTGCATCCCAAATGAGGATGTTTTAAATCCTGAACAGCAGTGAGTACGCAGCTCTACAAGTCAGCTTCTCTTTTTCAGAATAAAGCCTCATTAAACTATTAATAAATCAGTGTTAGTGAAACATGACCTCTCCTCCCTGCAAATAGGAGGAATAGCATATTAACTGAAAATAAAAAAGTGAACATGCAAACATGTGGCAACTGTGTAGGTCTCCACTGCTTATTTAGAGTCATCATATATGTCTTTGTCAAGAGGGCTTTGAACTTCATGGTCTTTTTTGTGAAAGTGATAGAATTATTTGAAGAGCTCATAGCAATGATGTGACTTTAAAAACTGTACATATCAGTCTTAATTATTAATGTATTAATATCACAGGAGCTTTTATCGCTGTGTCGTGATGCATTTGGCAGATTATCTTAATGTCTAATTAGGCGTCATTTCCAGATTGATCTGCTTTTGATTGCCCAAACACCATAATAGATGTGACATGGTATTAATCAGACATCTTCTATATAAATTAGTTCAACCTAAGTGAAGTACGTGGTAGCTGCTGTAACTTTCACTGTAGGGTTTCGAAGCCTTAAACATTCAGAAGTTCCCAACTGGGTTGCATAGGCCTAGGAGTGAGACAGAATATACATTTCAATTTCCTAACAGAACACATGACCATCAGCTGTCGTAGGCAAATTCTTTATCTTAGCAGCTGACAGTTTTAAGGTAAATAAACCCCAAACAAATGAAAAAGCAGAGAACCCAGAACGTTCCAAGCTGCATTTTACATTGCATTGTAGGTAATCTTTCTGAAGCTGTAACAGATGTGCAAATTATTTTTGAAAACCAAAAGTGGTCAAAACCTATGGTTTCTACTAATGTTTTTCTTTCTTGTTTTTTCCCCTAGTTACGATCGTGCAGTAAGAGTGAGTTGATCTCCAAAAGTTCAGAGATCCTGATGATGTTCCAGCAGGTTCATCGGAAGCCTATGGCCTCATTTGTTACCACTCCTGTCCCCCCAGACTTCACAAGGTCAGCACTGCAAATACTTTGTTTAAACTTGAAAGTCATCTTACAAAGGTTTGTTTTGCTTGTTAAAAAATGTGTAGAGTAAATTAGAGGAGAATATTCATTTTGCTGTACTGATGCATGGAGGAGGACATGCCTCATCTGGGAGGTAAGTGTATTATGTACCTCAGCCTTTTGTAAAGCTATGACAGGAGAGTGCCACTGTATTTTAAGAGGAGAATTCGAGAGACTAAATGATAGGCGGCTGGTGGAGAGGTTGCCTGATACTTGCCTTCTCCACAGTATGAGCTGTGGCATTGGTAATCCGGGGAGTAAAGTGATTTTGTCCGTTTTTGTGTTAAACCTAGTGTCTCTGACTGAATTTTGGTCCAGGCTTGTACACTGAAAACTTTTAACTGCTTAATTACTCCTGTTAGTAACCTGTGCCACAAGCAGGCTTTTCTGTTCTGGCAGGGCTTATTTTATGTCTGTAGTCCCTGCTGGGGAGTCCCGACAGTGGCTTCCAGTGACAGTAGGTTCTTGGGAATTCTGTTGAGAGTTTAGGCTAGCTGGCTGAAAAATGTCTCAAAACGAAGGGAGGAGAAGTCTTGAAAAAATTCCTCAAATAATTTTGTCTTCTCTAGCAAAAATTGGTTCGGCTTGCTTTTAAAGGCAAAACTTTTCCTGGCATGTTTTCTGAAAAGAATAATTAAATGACTTTCTAAGGGGAGTTTAAATCTTCCTGGCATTGGAAAATGAACATTTCGGTATCTCTTGCTCGGAAACACAAACCATTTGAGCCTTTTTCAAACCTTTCTAGAACTATCAAGGAGTCTTCCGTTAAAAGTTCACCATATTAAAAGATTATTAGCCATCACGTAGAAAAGGGCAAATCCTCTTAAATACTTGTGGTTGCTTTTCCCTTCATTACATTAAATACTTGTTTTATTGTGAGCTATCACATGGAGAGGTAGTGGAGAGAAGGCTTATAAATGGAATTTTCAGAAGTACTGAACTAACCCATTATATAGTCCTAGTGAATTTCAGTGGCTCTGGTGACCTAATTCATCTTAAATGCTTCTGGAGATTCCAGAAGTTGGGATTTTTAATGTCATGTTATTCAACTCTGATATATTTACATCTCTCCTCCCCTTTAGTGAATTGGTTCCAGCCTATGACTCAACTACATTTGTCTTGGAAAACTTCAGGTAAGAATGTATTTTAAATTACTGTGAATATTGAGAAGCTTTTTTTGTTTCTTCTGTACATGAGTAGTAGTCCTCAGAACACAGAATTGTCTCTGCAAAAAACTGTCAGATGTTAGCTAAGCTATAGGGAGGAATTCAGTCAAAAATGTCAGGTACCAGGTGGACAATTAACTCTAGCTACACTGTTAGCTAAAAAGATTTTCCATAGCAAAGGCAATTTTTTCCCTTTTTAAAAAAGATTGGATAATTATATAAGTGACACATGTATTTGTATGGACACTTACCATTCTGCACGGGCCTTGTGCTGCTACATGCTCTGTGCAGCAAGAAGGATGGTTCTAGTGTGTAAAAGCCCAAGTGTGAGTGCAGTTTATTGTTTTATGGAGGTTTTGCTTTGTCCCAATAGCAAATGTTTTTTCTCCTTTCTCAATAGTACATTGCGCCAGCGAGCAGATCCTGTGTACAGTCCACCTCTGCAAGTGTCAGGACTTTGCTGGAGATTAAAAGTTTATCCAGTGAGTTATGCTTTCAACTAGAGTCGTTACCCCACCCAAAACACTTCAGCAGCATTCGTGTGCTTCTCTTGTAAAGGAACATCAGTTAGTGTCTTCTCATGTTGTGTATAAAAAGCTGTATCAAAAGAACGTAATAAGGTTGTAGAGTTGATCACCAGCTACTGGAGCATTCCTGCTCTGCTTCCAGATATGCAGCATGGACGTTCTCAATGTAGTTAATCTGGTTAATTTAAAAGCAATTAAAAAAGGTCTTACTAATATGCCATAGGAACTGTAATAGATATTTTTACTATATTTTTCTGAGTGGTTTTTGTAGATGTTCCTTGCAGAAGTAGAGAGTAACTTAAAATATTTATGTTTATGAATAGTACTTATTTGGGCAGTTGGGAAGAGGACGAGGTATTAGTCGAAGATAAATCTGTTTTACTGTGCATCCAGTTCTCAGATGTTGAGAATACATGCTAAAATGTGTGTATTGTACTAACGTCCTTCTACTGAGCTGAATAGTCTGATTTCTGAAGCAGTATCTTTGTCAGTGTTGGAATGTTAACCCACAAGGTGCAATCTTTTTGCAGTCCAATAGCCTGCTCAGTGCTTCAAGGAAGCTCTGGCTGCTACTGCAGCTGTGTTTGGAGAAATATGTTTAGTGGTGGAGTGCAGGTTTTGTTTGTTAGTGGTTGACATGGCATCTTCAGAGAACTGGATTAATCTGTTAAGCCCATGTTTGCACAGAATTTGTATTTCTGGGGTGCAGAGGTGGACCTCTGCGTAAGCTTTCAGAGTATTGTAAATTCAGGATTGACTATAGAAGGTGTGCTGTCAGAAGGCATTAAAATTTATTTTTTAAATGGTAAGTTAAAATGTTTCTTCAACCTAGAGGATTCAAGTTGAGCCATTCTTCATCCCTGATGAAGGTGAGTGTGATGGAGGTTTTGCCATGTTTGTTCTGGTTTTCTGTTGATTCTCATATTGTTTCTCAGTTAACTGACCTAACTTTTTCACACTGCATGTTTTTTGTAAAGAAATGACTCTTATTTCAAATACCAAGTAGCTTTGAAATGCAGCTGTATGGAAAATATTTCAGAACTAATGTTTAACCTGAGCTGGTTTAATGTGGAGAGTTTGAGAAGAACTGGAATAGAATAAACTGCTAAGTAGATTTTATGAGCTTTTTTCTGCTTTTTCTATTTGTTACATAAATTGTTTCTTCAGGCTTCCACTTACTTGAACCCTTAAAGTGTTAATAGAGTAATTAAAGCTCTGTTCTGAGATTTATACCTGAGATGCAAACACCTTGTTGATTCAAGTTACAGTAAGACTTGCAGGTCACAGAAGATTAAAATCAAAACTGTATCATACGAAGGAAAGTGCTGTATCATACGAAGGAAAGTGCTGTTGCAAATTCTCTGTTGACTGAAGCTGCTTTCTCAACTTCAAGGGTATGTCAAGGTGTTTTGCTTTTCTGGTTTTGCTTTCATATTTTAATCGCTTTATCTCTCGATTTATTTCAAGGATGGAAATGGTGTGGTACGGGGCTACTACCTGTCTGTGTTCTTGGAGCTGTCCGCTGGATTGCCAGAGACATCCAAGTAAGTTAACCTCTAGTAAGAACAGCTGGTTTGATTTCTTTATTTTTTTTTAATTGGCAGAGCATCTGGAGAGGTTTTCAAACAACGATCTGAAGTTCTGTAGTGTTGCTGGGGACTGATGCAGAGCCCTCTTGAAAAGAACAGCAGGACTTCTGTTGTCGAGAAGCTTTGAATCGTGCCCAAAGATAATAACTGAAAGTTGTTATTTGGTGGCTTTCTCGAGATAAAAAGCTATCTGTCAAAACAACAGAGAAGAGCATCTGTCACCTAGTATTCAACCCTGAAGTTGGTTTACCATTCTCACTATTACTACTTTTATCCCCTGCTGTACTGTTTATATAAGTGTTCAGTAAAATTGGCAGACCACACCACGTCTTCAGCTGGGCCTGTGAGCCTCCCAGAAAGCATGGTTCTGTTAAACTTGATGCATCCAGCAGTTCCAGTGTCTTTATTTTGGTATTAATAACTGTGATTTTCCCCGGTGTAGGTATGAGTACCGTGTAGAAATGGTTCACCAGTCCACCAACGATCCCACCAAAAACATAATTCGAGAGTTTGCCTCTGATTTTGAAGTTGGAGAATGCTGGGGTTACAACAGATTCTTTCGTTTGGACTTGCTAGCCAATGAAGGCTATTTAAACAGGCAAAATGACACTGTGATCCTAAGGTAAGGAAGGCAACTTAGCGGGGCTCTTTACTGCTATCATTTCACAAAGTACCACACCTGCAGCTGAAATAGGAAATAATTAAGGAATTGAATTTAAAATAATTGTGACATGTTTTGCCATAAATGGGTTTGAGTGTCATAAGCTTTAAAGAGAATGTGCTGAAGGGAGTTGTGGAAACTATATCTCTTTCTTTTGAGAAGTAGCTATGCTTGGCACTAAGAAGCCTGGGTTAGGGATCTGTAGCGAATTGATTTAAAGGAAAAGGCTGTTTTCTCCCCCTTTTCAGAAACAGTTGTATTGATCATAGGAGATCTTTGGGAATAAAGGAAGTCTGTAATTTAAGAGAACTAATGCTGTCAATGGCAGTTGCAGTGTTAAGACAAAATACGGAAGCTTTATCCATCTACTTCAAATCCTCTCTGTACAGTCCTACTCTTGCTCCTGCTAAATGCTTTGTAGTGTGTTAATGTTGTTAGTGTTGGTTTGTGAAGATCAATACCTCTTGTATAACTGCCCTTGAAAATACTTCCTGTTGCCATTCAGTGTGCTCAGGGTACTGAGTATGGAAGGACATTGTTAAGTTTGTTTTATCACTGGATTTCAGGTTGGGTAATATTTTTATGTAGGGCTTTTAGGATTTTGTGGGGGCACAAAAAAAAAACAAAATTAAGGAAAAAACCCTTAAAAATCCCTTTTCAAATGTTCCTTTGAAGGTTTCAGGTGCGCTCACCAACCTTCTTCCAAAAGTGCCGAGATCAACACTGGTACATTGCTCAGTTAGAAGCTGCTCAGACAAGTTATATCCAACAAATAAATAACCTTAAAGAAGTAAGTGGCATCTATACTACTGTAAAAATCACCTTTTACTTATGAGTAATTAGCTGGTTTAGGTTTCAGTGTTCACATTTGACAGTTGTGTTTATTTGGGTTGCTATTGGTAGTTTGATATTGGGTGTTATTAAAATAATATATATGCAAGTCAACAAACTTACTTGATTTGATGCTCCATTGTTGCCTTTTCTGTATATCCTTCTAATGTGTATCTTTCTGATATTTCAGAGGCTTGCCATTGAACTTTCCCGGACCCAGAAATCACGAGGCATTTCACCTCCAGACACTCATCTGAGTCCCCAGAATTATGATGGTCCAGAATCGAGATCAAAGAAATCTGGACAAAGCACTGAAGCACTGCTTGAGAATGTTGCTGCTCCAGGATTAGTGCGCGATAGCAAGGAAGAGGAGGAAGAGAAGATCCAGCATGAAGACTTTAATGTAGGAGTTGTCTTTTTCCTGGCTCTTTGTTTATGTGTAGCTTCTTGTGATAGGGTAGCAGTAGAGACGTAGGTGAACTTATGAATTGTGAATTAGATTTTATTATCCTCTGTGTGGAATTAGGAGACAACACGCTCAACAGCTAGCAGCGAGAGATGACACGAGAGAGATGCCAAAGCAGATCTAATTGATCCCACCACAAAAAAGTTTCCAAGTTTCAGTTTTCCAGCTGAAAAGTCCAGTTTCCCTGGGTTTTACCAGCTTTTACTGGGCTTTGAGACCCTCCTAATTCCTGTGTGATGCTCTGGGGACAGGGTTCCTCTTAGTAGCTTTTGGTTTGTTCTGTTTTTCCGGTAGCATGAGCTCTCTGATGGTGACTTGGATATAGATCTTGCTGGAGAAGATGAGGTAAACCACCTTGATGGCAGCAGCTCTTCAGCTAGTTCAACAGCAACTAGTAACACTGAAGAAAATGATATTGATGAAGAAACTATGTAAGTAACCTAAAGCCTTTCAAATCACCACCTTGTCTGACAGGTTAATCCTAATTCCAATGGAAACTGATGGATTTGCTGTAGCAAAGGGTGTGGGTAGACTCCAGTGTGATGTGAAGGCTGTTTCCTAATCTGCAAACAACATGAGCTGGTAGAGTTAACATTAAACACTGGAATTTTTGATCAGTTTGTTACCATCTTTCTGATCTCTTAATATTTTGTTTAGTGTTGTGTTCTGTTTGACAAGTGATAGTCTGTGAAGGTTCTTTCCCAAAACACTATTAAGGAATCTGGTTCTTCACTGTAACGAAAGAGAGGTTTGGTATTAGGAAGCGTTGTAGTAGTAGGAGAGTGATAATGAGGGCAGTTAAACTAGAAAATTTAAGGTTCTTAGCTGAGATTATGTCAGATCCTAAAATCTTCATTAAAGCACACGAATGTGTTGTAATACGTACAAATATAGAAGTTTGCAGGATCATGTTTTACAGTTTAGATATGTACGGCACTTTTGGACTCTTGGATAGCAAGTCAGTCACCCTTTGTTTTTATTTGTTCAGTTTACGTAGCTTGGGATGCAGAAAATACTATTTACTGTGTTTAATGTTTTCAAGGTATGTGCCATAATGTCTAAGAAGAGCTGAAAAAGGTGAGTAATTATTATTTCTTTTTTTCCACCCTGTCATCTAAGGTCTGGAGAAAATGACGTGGAATATAGCAGCAATATGGAGTTGGAAGAAGGCGATCTCATGGAGGATGCAGCGGCTGCTGCTAGTCCTGGAGCATCAGGTATGAAAAACAGCCTTCAGAATTCCCATATATGCAAAATGCTGCTGGATTCCTCTTCTGTTCTTGGAAGTGACGCCAAGCTGCGTGTTCTGCAGGCATTTCTATTTTTGGAAATGCTGCATCATGTGGTTCATACTGATTATTGCAGTGTAGCAGAAATGTTTCATTGGCTCAATAGAGAAAGGGGGAGAAATCTTCTGAATGTGCTTGTTTAAAAAATTATGCATAAGTTTAGAGGGAGGTTTTTCTGCATCTTGAAACCCCTTCCATTCTGATCAAAAGTAGCCTGATGAACAGTTTGTACTGATGCCTCTGAATGTGTGACACGTTCACATGGGTTTTAGTGCACTGTAAAACTTGAAGGATGTGGAGGGAATTAAATGAAGAATCCTTAGAAGTCAAGCAGAAATACATTGTAAATGCAGTAATGAAAAGGTGCTCTAAGATTACTTGAAGCCTAGAGATGATTATAGCCCAAATTAGCCATAGGTTGGTAAGATTCTGAAAGAAATATGTGTATATGGAGTGTATTTGTTTATAGCAAAGATATTGGAAGTGGTGTTCACTGGCAGTGATGTTTGTGCTGCTGTGGGAGTGTTTGAAAGACCCAGTTCCTTAACTGTGCTGCTTTTAGCTGCTGTTTTGAAGGTACTTGAAAATTTCTTGTGAGCTAGAAAGCTGAGGGACATGCCTATTACCTTCTGAAAGGCTGGCTGTTAGAGCAGGAGCACAGTGTAGAGCAGGAGCACAGTAGAAACAGCATTCATTTAGGAGGTTTTAGAAAGTAATTTTTAACAGCATTTGTGAAAGCTGGCACAGTCTCTTCACTTGAGCCTCTTGCATTTACCTGCTTGTGCTGTTTTCAAGTCTGAGTGCAAGTACTGTCAGCAGAATAAATGCTCTTTGTATTGATTTGTTTACCAGTCTATCTATGAAGAGAGTTGCATAAAGGGTATGAAGTGTACAGGAGCTAATGTGTCACCTGTGTCCTGTGTATACACACTCTTTCTCTATAACTCTTCCTTAGGTACTAGCCACAGCTACATCAGTGCAAGTGGAAGACCTTCAAGGCGGGGAGGAAGTGCCCTAGGCTCAACAGCCAGTAGCACTTTACTAGATATAGATCCCTTAATTTTAATCCACTTGCTGGATCTGAAAGATAGAAGTGGAATGGAAAACCTCTGGGGCCTTCAGCCACGTCCACCTCCCTCTCTTCTGCAGAATAGAGGTAACTGTACATCTGATACACATTCTGATTTAATTCCAACCTGGAAGTGTCTCTGGCAAGGCAGTCCCAGAGTTAGAAGCAGATTTGAGGAGGGAGTAAAAAAGGGATGACAGGCAGCCCTTTTCATGGAAAGCTACACTTCCATATCCTTATCTGGGCTCATCAGAATGCTGCATCCTGCTGCCTCCTCACATGTTCTTTGCCTTAATGGTTGACCTCAGCTTGAGAACACAGGGTGACTCAACTGGAAACAGAAGTGTGTATCGGGAAGGGCCTTCTCATCTTTCCTTGAGGAATGTGACTGAACCCTTGGCTGTTTCGTTTAGCAACCTTGTAGAGATGCAGTTCATGCAGCTTCTTTGACTGCAAATGTGGGAGATGAACGAAAGGTCCTTTTCTAGAAGGGGTTAGCGCTGAGAGACAAAACAGCACAAAATGGCTGTCAGCTGCGGAAGTAGTTAACACCTCTCGCCTCACAGAGTTTGTACACTTGGTGGCTGAGAGTACGAAGAGCAATTTATACTGATAAGAAGTAAATCCTGGAATTTGCTTTCATATGAAAAAGGCATTTAGACCCAAACTAGGAAAAATGTGTGTGGTAATGAAGCTGGAAAAGCACATGTGGAAGAAACATGGATCAAACTATTGGGAGCCAAAAACAGTGATGGTATTTAAATAATTGAAGACTCGGAAGAGAGTCTGTGGTACAGTTAAGACCATTCAACCAAAAGAACGATTAACTTCATGTGCAGCAAAAGCAGTTAGCTGTCAATTCCAGCACCCCTGGCTGTTGCTGAAGGCTGCTTACTAGCGAAGAATTAAAATTAGATCAAACCTCAGTGATACATTTATCATGATTAACACTTACTTGAATGTAGCTGGCCCACTACCACAACATTTTATTTCAGGTTATTCTGAAACAACCGTTTGGTGACTTGATAGAACAGAAGAGAAATAATAATGGTCCATTTGCTCCAAACTCTTGCTTTGGCTGCAGCGATGACATTGCTGATAGTGAATCTAAAAGCTGGCTCAAATTATTTGTTCCTTTGTGATTAGCTTTTAAAATGTTGCCATGTAAACAGTCACATGAGTTTTCAGCTGAACATAACCCATGCTTCCAAACACGGAAGTCCCTTCTGTGAGTACAAAAAGGGGAGGCAGCACATGAACCCTAAGTCTCAGTTCTGTTCTGGCTGGAAAAAGGCTGAGACAAAAGGACCTTAGGCGTGGGCGTTGCATTTGATGCTGTCCTGCTTGAGCAAGATTAAGGTCTGTTGTATTAAATGGCTTCCTTGTCAACTTCAGCTACTCACTGCACTGATGAAATTGTCAGTTTTGCTGAGGTTCCCTTAAGGTTTGACTGTTCCCAGAGCTTATTCAGGTCAGTCAACTAAAGGAAAGCTGCTACTACATTTGGATTTTGACAGACTTCACCTCCTAAGGTGAGGGTTTTCAAGAGCCACTTGGCTTTATGGCTTGAACAGCTGAATTTGCAGTGAAACACAGAATTCATAATGGTTCAAATAAACATCAAATGTGATCTAATTCTGGCTGAGCAGCACACAGGCTTACTTGGGTATTAGCTGCTCAACCTGATCTTCTGGTGTTAGGTACTTAAGGGGATTCCTTGCCCAGTTGCACATTTCTGTGAGTTCTCTATGTTAATGGGGTCTTGTGTTGGTGGTATGAGAACCTTAGATAGGCATTCAGCAAATGTTACAGAAACGTGTAACAAATTTGACTGGCATCCAGGCTTGTGAACTGAAGCTGGTCTGGCAACATAGAGGAGCAGCTGGGTTGTCATCCAAATTCATGCATTAGTATTGGAAGCCTTGCTTCTTCCAGCCAGCATGTTCTGGTGTCTTCTTCTATGAGAGGCAGGGAATGGAAACCTGGGCTGGTAGTTGTGCAGTGCGCAATGGTGCAAGAATGTCTGTCCCTCATTTTTATAGCGGGGCAAAAGGTAGAATTCTTACAGCTGCTAGAAATAACTGTCTGTGTTTATTTGACAACATTACTTACCTGTTGTGTTAAATTTCCTTTGGTAAAGCATCATCCTATTCTCTAAAAGATCGAGACCAGCGGAGACACCAGGCGATGTGGCGCGTGCCCCCTGACTTGAAGATGCTGAAAAGGCTCAAAACGCAGATGGCTGAAGTTCGAAGCAAAATGTCTGATGTGAAAAACCAGCTGTCAGAAGTGAGAAGCAGCAACCCTGGCTCGTGTGATGGGCAGCCCACCTTCTTCTCCATTGAGCAGGGCGCTTTAGCTGCCTGTGGAACGGAAAGCTGCAGCAAGCTGCAAGAAATAGGAATGGAGCTACTGACAAAGTCTTCAGTTACCAGTTGTTACATAAGGAATTGTAAGTGCATTAAATGTCACCCTTACAATGTTGGTTGTATAGGTGGTTTTATATATCCAGGCATCTGAAATAGACTTCTTATAGTTACTCATGCTCAAGTTCAGCTATAAGAATACAGAAGCCTAAAACTTGCACTGCCTTACTTTCAGTAAATGTTAGTAATGTAATTTTACTAAACATTTTTAGTAAACATTTCAGTGAATGTTACTGAAGCTGGCTTCAGCCTTTCTTGATAAAAGCACCAAAGCTTTTTCTCCACAGCCAGTAACACACCTAATGCAGTGAGAGTAAACTTCTTAGTAAACTTCAGAGTTCTGAAGTTTAATCCTGTATTGAATTGATCCTACCTGAAGGTCATTTCCTGTTGACTGCTGCTCTGTATCTGGCCCATCTAGGAACTTGAGGATGTTTCCTGATGCTTGCCAGTGAATAAAATTAAAACATTCCAGATCTGTTATACTTTAATAACTTGAAATCTTGCCAAGGCTCCCCTGGAAAGGCTTTGCCTTTTGACAGGTAACCTCTTTCAGAGAAGGCCCTCTCTGTTCAGGTCCTGTCACTGGGTCTTGGTGGCAGAGCTGGTAAGCCAGTTTGGAATTTTTTGGATGCCAGCATGAAGGCTATGCAAGTACTCTGCTGCTTATGATCCTGAATAAAAGCACTGGCTGTTAATTCTCTCTCAACTTCCCTGTTGTCTGGGAGAGATGATTTTGCAGCCTTCTGAGTTTTGATTCAAGTTATTACTTGAATCATTTTGGACCCAAGATGAGTAACAAGTACATTATACACACAAGCAGACTAAAGAACTGATAGAACAGTTCTATTTCTCTCCATCCCTTTTAGTACTGACCTGCAAAACAGCTTTTGCAGCTCCAGCAAATATCTGTTCTGTATTTCGTCAGTCCCACAGAGCAGAGAATTTCTTCTCTGAAAGTTAAAGTTTGGAGCCCTGAACTCTGCCATCAATAAGATGTGGAAGGCTCAGCCCACTATAATGGAAGTGCTAGCTTTTGTTTGTTGTGTGGTTTTTAATGCCACCTCTTTCTTTAGCAGTTGCCTCATTCCTCAAAAGTTATTAAGGCACCGGGTAGGAGGAGAGGATTAGGCTTGTGGTGCTCTGTAAAACAGGAGCAGTCTTCTGGTTTTGAAGCCTGGATCCCACACCTCCAAGGGGTGACTGCAGAACTTGGATTTGCTGTTCCAGTTAGCGTTGCTCTGTTCCTCTACCTGGAGGAGTTTCTGTGGCAGGATCCACAGTATCATGTGCTCCAAGAACGGTTCATTTAGGAAGTGGTAAACTCTGAGAGTCCCATAACCTGTCTCTCACTCTTGCTTTCAAGGTCCTTTGTTACCCTCTACTTTGAATTTAAGAGCTGAAGGGATGGTTTGGGCTCCCCTTAATCCTTTGCACTCTCATCATGATGACTGAAAGAATCTGGATAGTGGCTTTCTTAAGGGCATCTTGGTGTAAGGCAAGTGAACATTACTTTGTATAGTCTTGGTCACATCTATAACTAGCCAAGCTTCCCTCTAGCTCATGTCTTTGACAGGAAAGATGAGGAATGAGTTTTGTGCAAGACTGGGAGTTAATAAGCATAGAGACTAAAATGAAGCTTAACTTGACTTAAGCAGAAAGGCAGAGTGCTGCAGCACTCTGACTGAACACTTGTCACATCTGAACATATTTTTGCAGCTGCAAGTAAGAAAAGTAACTCACCCAAGACTATTCGCTCTGGAGCAGCAGGCAGCCTGTCTTTACGGAGAGCTATGGACTGTGTGGATAGCAGTCTTCGCTTAAAGGGAGACATTCAAACTTCTGAAGGTAAGCATCTTTCTTTGTGAGATGGGGGGCATCTCAGCATCTCACGTACAAAAGCTTTTCAAGAAGTCTTACTTGGCAGCTGATGTTTCCCTGAGACTTGGCTGGATCCTTTCTCGAATATAGTTAATGATATTGTACGTTTGGTAGCTGATCTATGAAAGAGAACCTCGCAGATGACTTGCAGAACCTAAATATGTGTGTTAACAAGTACTGATCTCTGAAGATGTTTCAGGAACTAACTATAGTGAGAATCATAGATCAAAAGTACTGACCCATGTTTAAATTTTTATTTGCCTTAAAGGGAATTCAAGAAAACCCCACATACATGTGAGAAAGAGTATTGATACTGTGGCCTCTGAGTTTTAAGGTGCCCTTCCTTGAGTGGTAGTGAAATATCTAACACAGGACTTGTGTTTTGCCCCTTTTAAGTGTTCTGAGGAGGAGTGGAGTACCAAAGTTGTTTTCCTACAATGCTAAATGGATAAAGAAGGCTTGGGTGGGAAACTGAAAAATGCCAGAGAGTCATTTAGATGGTGTAATTATAACCTGTGCACACAGTTTCACCCTTGTCCAAGGCTTGAAAGGCTGCAACTTCACACTCATAGCTGGGGAAAATGACAGTGAGGAGAGTGTCTGTTACTAGAAGATAAATAGAAGATAAGTTTTAATTACACAATGTGGGGAAGGATTCGTCTATAGTCTCCCATCAGAAATGGTGGCTGAAACAAAAGCTCTGTGTGATGAGAGAGTGGGTATACCAGATGGTTTGTGTTGCCCGTATGTTCACTTGAAACTGTAAGGTTTTAAGCATGAGGGTGGGGCAGGTGTGCTTGTGTCTACATGTGTTTGGAACCAAGCTGGTGCTGTGAAACAGCTGGGTGTTCAGCTTCTTGAAATAAGGCTCGAGATGCTCAGTTTTCCCCTTTTCTCAGGTGGCGTAGGGAGCTCCAAGTTGAGTGGTCGGCACCATTCTGCCAGGGCCCTGGCTAACAGCAGTGTTCCCGAGTCACTGCCAAAGACAGAGGAGAGGACTTGTGATGGTTCAGATTCTGATATGGGAGTTTCTGGCTTAAATGGCTTAGCTGCTGTAGAGAAGACGAGGAAAGTTGGTGCTCTAGGGTAAGTATTTGTTCTCTTTTCCTCTTGTTATCTCCTCACCCACCTTTCCTTGATCTAGGAAGAAAGACACCAATCAACTAAACCCAGGTGCTTGTAGCATGGAAGAGAAATTCCTTTGAAGTTTATTTGGTTGCTGCTGTTCCCTCTGGGTATCAATTTTTAGTTTAATAACTAGTTCACAAGTAATTTTATTTTATATTTTATTTTATTTAATTTCGATCAGCTGTGGATGCGGTCTGACACTCAGATTGGGAAGGCAGGCCCATCCGTATTCCCACTATTCCTTGCAAAATATCCTCTAACTGAAATCTACAACTTACGTTTTTTTCGGTTAAGATGGTATTTTTCACTTTGACTCTAGTTTTTCAGCAATTTCATAACAACTCTCTGTTGGCTGACAAAGCAAAGTGCCATGGGAGTATTCAGGGGTTTGGGTTTTTTTTCTGAATACCTGGAATCACAATTTTTGGGAAATATTTGTAAACTTTTCCAGGTTTATTTTGTGAAGATGTTAAATATTTCTGCATCAATCCAAGCTGGAAGTTTAAGTGGGTATGCAAGAAAGTTAAACAATGAGTAAAACTAGAAGTGGGACTAGAAGGATTAAAGCTGAATCTCTAACATGAGTTTTTCTACTTCTCCTCAATTCTCCATTAAGGTCAACTTCTAAAGGGTGTTGTACAGAAGGAGCCCAGTCAGGTGGTCTGGAGAGCAGCTCTGACACGGGTGACCTACAGGCTGTCCTTTCTGAGGGGGCTTCTGCAGGGCCAGAAGAAGAAGGTAAATTAAATGTTGTAGAGGGCAAATGTAGTTTGACAACACACCAGTCTGGGATGACCCATTTCTGTAATAGGCATGGTTGGAAGGGGAAAGGAAAAGTGGAAGAAAAAAACCCCTCCATCAAACCCAAAGTGTGTTTTCATGGCAGTTGACCTTTGCTGTAACAATTGGCAGTTATAGTGTGAATCTGAATGAGGAGTGAATATCTCTGTGTCACCTCTGTCTGGGGAGAAATGGCAATGGGACAGTGCAGCAGGCAAAGACTCGGTGCCATTGCATGGGGCCATCTGTTTCTCTGGACTCCTACTTGCTTTTCATACCTCTTAATAGGGCTCCAGGTCTTTGCTTTGGTGTTCAGTTGCACGGCCTTGAAAACAATTTCTTATCTAATTAAAATAGCAGTCAGTGACCTTGGCTTTTAAGCCTGCTGCCGTCAGGGACAACACGTTGGTAACTACCTCCACGTCTGCACTAGAATCTCTCCAACACTTCATTCGTGTCGGGTGCTGTGGTACGTAAGCCAGTTTCCTTAGAGACTTGGAGGAAACTTTTCCCCCTCCCTTCCTGCATCCTTTCCATGCTGGAAAAAATATTATTGCATTTTTTTTCTTTTTTGAAAGTCCACACAGGAGAGTTTTTCTTATCTTGCTAAAACTCTGCTGCCTTCCACCCCTGCACTAATTTGAATTTCAATGACTGAATTGTAGCGCAAAGCCTATATTAAGGTGCCAGCATCCATCTCTAGCTGCAGTGTGCAATATTGTGTAGGAGTTGGCATTTACAGAAGGTCTCTCAGTGACAAAACTGAATTTCTGCTCTTAGTCACTGCAGTGTGATCGTGATGCGCTCCCGCAGCTCTGCTATTATAGCAGAGAACCTAATAGGAAAATGTTTTAAGAACTGAAATACTTCATTGTTAAAAACCCCAGGAAACAAACTTTACTTTTTTTTTTATTTCCTTTCAGAGGAGAAACTACGGTAGAGCTGGTATCTCAATTCACTTTACTTGCTTTTTCTTAGCAATGAGTATCAACTCTTAAGAAGTGAAAGAGCAGAGCAAACCCCTTCCATCTCCCACCAAACTGCAAAAAGGAGCATGTTCACCTCTGCCAGTGCCTGCTCAATGTTTGGCAAAACAAAAGAAACCACCTTGATTATTAACTACTGTGGTTCTTTTTGTAGGGAAACCAGGGTTTTTTTCTGCCTGAGACTTGAGCAGACTATTGCTGCTTGAAAGGTGTGGTGTGTGGGTACACCTGCTCCATGGGTCATGCTACCTCTGAACTGTTAAAGACCTGCTCTAGTGGAAGGTGTTCCTGCTTATGGCAGGGGTTTGGAACTGGATGAGCTTAAAGGTCCCTTCCAACCCATCCATTGTAGGATTCGGGGGGGGGGGGAAAGCTACTTTTATTTTCTGTCCTCATTGGAGAGGTGAGCAGAGCAGCTGGCAGTGGAGCACAGCTCAGGCAGGAAGGGGCTGCAGGCAACCAATCCTGCCTCAGCTGGTGACATGCTGAAACTCCTCCTCTTGTGCCAAACAGCAGAATGAGGGCATTCCCAAAGCTGGTACCTGGTGTTCTGTTCAGTCCCTTAGTGTTTTGGTAAATGTATCTGGCTCTGAACGTGCTCCTTCTCTTGTTCTCCTGCCAGCTCTTGGGATTTGATACTCGTTGCTCTCACATGTGAAAACATTGAACACTTCAGTCACATTGGTCTTGCTGCCATCATTTTTGGCTTGTGGGTCTTTTTGGGTTTTTTCACAGCTGGGGTATGTCAGAAGCATGTCCTTCATCTCCTACCAGGAATGAGCAGTGACAGCGACATTGAATGTGACACAGAAAATGAAGAGCAGGAAGATGGTGCCTCTGCCTCAGCGGGGTTTAACCAGGCCTTCTCAGTCCAGTCCTCCAGTGAAGGTAGGAGTGACTGGGGAGCCCACCTCTGCTGCTGCCGTGCTGGATGCTGCCAGAGCAGAGGCTGCTGAAGGTGCTGTTAGGGTATCAATACTCAAGCAAGTGCCAGGGAGATCTGGAACTCCTCTCTTGGGATCCTAATAAACAGATCTTTCTGTCCCTGAGAAGTCAGGGAGGTGCTGGAAAACCCAGAGCTCCTGTTCTTCTGGCTTGCAACTCCCTGCACACTAGGACAGGTGCTATATGTCAGCTCTTTTCAGGGAGGTAACTGCTGCCCTAGATGTGGATTTGCATCTTCCTTGGCAGGAATGTGCTTTGAGCACTTCAGTGTAGTTTCCAAAACTCATCTCATGCTTTGAAAAGCTTTAACCTTCTGATCAAATTAAAAGTTGTGAGGTGACAGCTGATGCTGGATGAGGTTGGCTTCTGGTTGAATAAGCATCCCACGGTGCAGTAGCAGCATGGCCAAACAACTTGCCTCTGTAATTGGAGTTTGCTGCTTTTCTGTGTGTCTGCAGCAGGCACTAAAACCCCAGCTCATGGGAAAGAATCACAACATTGTTCATATCTGTGCTTGACTTAGAGCTATCTTAAATAAAAGCCCCTGGGGCAGTTTTAACTCAGTGTCAAGTGCATTGTGTGCCAGTATACTGGGGATGAAGTACCACACAGCAGACTCTGCCAGTAGCAGAACGTTCATTTGCTCTGTTCCAGTTGCTCTTCTGGTAATGGATGCTGGTTCTTTGGTTTCAGCATCGGAGCAGTGTGCAGCATTCCCAGAGGGTGACCAAGCCGGTCCTGATGATCTCAGCTTTGCTACTGGAGAAGACAGCACCAGGTAAGGGTAGCTGCTTGGCCTGCAAGGTGGTGGTAGCCCTGGGGTTGCTCCTTCCCTGTACTGCATCTCAGGTTTGCAGTGATGAGGGGCAGGTTCACCTCACTGGTGATGGACAGGCAGGTGCTGGGGCTCTTTCCTGGCTTCCCCAGGGCTATGTTGCTTTTCAAGGCAGTCTGTAGCCACTGTGCAGTGCCATGGGAGGGCTGGCTGGGTTTGCACTGCAGTGTAATGTCAGTAGAAGACTCTTGACTGGATTTAAGTACCTGGCGTGAAGTTTTGGTTCATAAGACCTTGCTTGAAGCCCTAAAACTGTCCTTTACATGTCGGTTTCACTGACAGCTGATTCTCTTTGGAGCAGGTAGAGAACACGTTCAGGGCCTGAAGACCTGTGGCTCATGTCCTTGGGAAGAGGGGCGTTGATTCGCTGGAGCTTAGCCCAAGGCTGTTATTCGTGGCTGTGAGCACACTGCGTTCTGTCCAGCACCCTCATGTGGTTCTTCTACAGTTGTCTTAACCCAGTTACTGGGGTGAAGTGACCTTTGGAGGTCTTACACTAATGTCTGCATTCCTGCTGGCTCTGTCAGCTCACATGCTCTTAAAAGGTGCCCCAGAGGTGCTGAAGCCCCATTTCAGGCTGCTGCTGCCCTGTGGCGTTGCTGGGCCAACCGTGAGTATGTGACTGTCCTCAGTTAAAATGGTGTGAGTGGGTTGTGCAAGGCTGCTGAAGCTGGCAGATGGGATGGATGGAGTTGGGGTGAAGCAGCTGCTGTTTTCCTCAGTCATGACGTGGACCACCTGAACCCACCACCACCCTCTGCCACAGCGTGTTGTGTTCTGAGCTGCTAAACTATGTGTGATGCTATGGTGAAAGCCAAATGCCTGGTCAGTGACAAAGCATGAGTAACTGTCACCGTTCTTGTCCATGTCTCTGCTGGCTGTACCAGTGTTCCTGTCTGAGTGTTCCACAGTGTAAGTAAGTGCTGTACAACTCCTAGTTTCAAACTGTTTGCACTTTGTTAATAAAATGAATGTTGAAATATGATGTGATGTTTGAGGTGTTTGTGTATAAGTACCGCGGTAGAGCATGTCAGTGAGTAGAATGCTGCTGCCTTGACCTTCTCCAAGGAGAACACTTGCCTGTCATGAGCTGGTCACCCTTTTCCCGAATTGCTCAATGAAAAGTGCTTAAACCCACCTGGGATTTGTAAGGCTGTGATGTTCTAGAACCTCCTATACTCAAATATTAACTGCAGAGGAGCCATGGCTTTCACACAAATGTAGTTTTGTGTTTCATAGCTAGGGGGAGGCGCAGCCCTGAGCCACCTCAGGCACCACTTGCTCTGGTGGCCAAGTGCTGAGGGTGGCCTGTGACAGGCTGTGCCCTGTGGTAGTGCATCAGGAGTGTTCGGTGTTGTACAGGGCTGTGTTGATTACACACAGCTCAATTAGCAGTAATCATGATGCTCTGCTTTGTCACCACTCACAGGTGCTTTGCTTTAATGAGAGGCCTATGGTGAAGGAAGTGGTTTGATGGGGCATGTGCCCCACTCTGGTGCTGGGGTCCAGGGAAGGAGCTGGAACTGCCACACTTTGCTTATGTTATGGAAAATAATCTTACGCAGCACTGGCTTTTTAGCAAGAGCTGAGGAAAAGAGGCTTGGAGGACTCAGTTACCTGATTTGCTGTAACTGCCCCTTCCTTCCCTTCAGAACAGCTCAGAGCTGGGCTATGACAGGCCCCATGTGATAACACCACAGGTACCATGGTGCCAGCTGACACAACCACTGTTGTCCAGTTCTGGTACGTGCCACACAGAGGTAAGCTGCTTTCACCACGGGAAAGATGTTTAAGTCAGAGGGTGGTTGCTATCTCTGTTAGCTCTTAAATAAACAGACTATCTGAAGTGTGGTTTAAATTACTGTTTTATTAAGATATTGGTAAAACTTGAACAGTTTTTCCTGTATAAACATCTTCATAAATAAAATATGGATGACTAATACATGGTTGAAACTAATAGGTGGACTGTAGAACAAGACCACGGAGGGAAGTCCCAACACTGGGAAACGGTTTGCTTTAGTTTATTCACTGCATCAAGAACACATTATTGTCATGAACATGGTAATACAGAGAGGTCAACACAAGCCCCCGTGTCACAACCGCCGGCGGGAGTGCTTGGTGTATGGTGTGAGCTTGGTCCTGCACCCTGTTCCTGGCCCAGGTGAGGAAACCACAGCGCACAAGTGATACAGGAGTTGTATTGGACCCCAAGGGTTGTACTAGACCCTAAAGGAGAGGATTTTAGCTTTACTGCTGGCAAGTACAGTGTGAGTGCCTGATGGGCGAGGGCAGGGAAAGGCCAGGAACATTTTAAGTCAAAGGTTGTGTTAATGCTTCGTTATTGCACATGATACAAGGGTAGAAAGTTTTGTTCCTGTTGCAAAGAGGATATGAATTAAAGAAAGATCGCCCTAAGTTATAGGCATGATCAAAGCTGGAGTATCCCCTTCAATGGCTTTGTTTATGTGACTAGTGCCCAGTGAGTAAATTGTGCTAAAACAGTCCCTAATTTAGACCAATCTTTCTCATTTGCTTTTTCCTGCAGAACACTGCCACGGTGGGGAGGATTTCATGAGGCTGGCTCTGAACTACAGCAGCTGTGTCTATGAACACAGAACCCATTACACCTCATCTGCCCATAGGACATGTTTCTCACCGATGCACCACTATAAATGTGGCGTAAGGTAAAGTCTGCTTTGACATTGTCCTTGGGTGCTGCAATGCAATCTCAACCCCCTACTGAATGGTTTTAACTGGCAAGGACAATTGATGGCACTTCCAGGTAAAGAAAAGTTCTATACATGTGTTTCCACCCACCGTTAGTGCAAACCACGGTGGGATAAGGGTGCCCCGTCCCTGCAGTACAGACACCCCAAAGCTGCACCTTCCAGAAGTGTGCACACGGAACAACCAGAGAGGGGACTGCACAAATCCCACCAGGACTCACAGTGAAGAGCTTATGAGCAAGTTTTGAGCAACTTCAGACAAACAGCCTGGAGCCTCCTTCTCAAAACCACCCCAAGTTCACAAAAACCAACACAAAAAATGATGTTTTCACTCCCTACCTCCTAGTTCTGCACACAGGGTTAACACGTAAACTGAAACTGATGTGGGTTGTCTTAACGCAGAACAGGGATACTTCAGCTCTTTATTGGAAAGATTTGTTATACAAATTTCACCACCACTACGATACACAATAAAAATACAAAACACAGGTCACAGACTGAATCTCAGTAGCAACAGTTAATAAATACAATTGGATGCTTTTATATTAGCCTAGTATCTTTACATTGTCACCAGATAGACAATCAAAGTACGAGATACAGAACACTTAGATACTGTTAGAGAGGGATTATTGCTTACGTTAGCAAGCAGCAAGTAAGGGCACAGGAGTCTGAACTGAAGAGAACTACTTCCTATCAATCACCAGTGGCATTAAGAGAAAACACTGCATTTCACAAAGCACTGCTTTTTGTCTAGTGGGTAGAATCAAGAGCAGCATATATCAGAC